AAAGGCCCTACCATCTTACAGTTAAAGCAGAAACAACAAAGACTCCTTTTTTCAGTTAGCTTAAATATCTGGGGACTAGTTACCGTTTTCTTCATAATCAAGATGTAGAAAAGTTGATGCTCATCTATCTTGTTTTTTATACCGTAATAAACCCACCTAGTTCAGTTCCCACAAACAATACTGCCATGTTTCCCATAGAAACAGTACACGTACAGAACATCTTTATTCTACAGCCTTTTTTGTGAGTGTTTCTATACCATGGGAAGCGCCTTTTACTGTTAAAAGAAATTATAGAGCAACAAACATCCGCTTAAGAGATGTAAAATTATGTTCATTTGAAGGAATAGTAACTGGTGATCAGTTCCAGTTACTAGAAACGGTAACTGGTGACCAGTTCTTTTACCCAGTTACCAGAAACAATGGGAACTGGAACGGTCCCACCCCTACTCTTCTGCGAAAACTGCAGTTTGAACATTTCTCCTGCCTGAAATTCATGGTTTCAATAATTAAATAAGGGCTAAGTTAATATAATCATGAGAAGATGACAGAAATCGAATTCTGAACATGAAAACTCTCAAAAACTCAAATAAACCACAATTGTTGTTCAGCTTCGATCCCCGAGATTTAATCTTATATACGATAATTAGAGAAATCCTGCAGATTTTTACAAAAACTTGGTTAGATTTCTATGTAAGGAGATGATGAGATTTGTATAAGAATAGGAATCTTATAAACTTCGTAAGGTCGGTTGACCTAGGACGGAAAACCATGAAGAAGGAAAATAACAAGTCTTGTTCACACCAGTAGTTCCTTGTCTTCATTTCTAGACTTGAACTGACTAGTCCATGATGTAGTACAAGAATTGTGTCTCGTACTGGGATCAGTATGCCTCGACTTGCCCTTTAAAATAAAGTATACCGAACACGTATACATCCTTGACTATGAAAAATAACTAGCTAAAAGTATGGAAGATAAAATCGAGCACAAAAGTCTCGAAGAAATCATCTTTCATACGACTTTCTGAAATGAGAGTTAAGGTGTTTCTTAGTTATTACAAAATGTTTTACCCAGTTTTTTTTTCGAGAACATGATGCAGAAAAAGTGAATTGTTTAACTCATAATGAATGCGCGAGCGAGCAGGAATCGGAACAACTAACCGAGTCGAGGCGTTCATTAGAACAAATCGGCCCCGAACTCATATTTGTAATTGACACTCAAGTCTATCTCTTTCGCTTTTGGCGGGAGAATGGTCATTAGGATTTCTTTTCAACAACTATGCAAGAAATTGCACTGCTTCCCATTATTTTTGAGCAAAAGATTGTCGTTGTAAGAAGTTAGCATCCAATAATAGCATCCAAAAATGGCCGCCGATGATAATATTTTTTCTGTTCTGTTCAATGTTCGTTGAATACGAATTCATGCAATGGCTTTGAAGTTCAACAGATGTCATAGGATTCTGGACCTGAGCTTCGAGTATAGATGTTATATCAACTAAAAAGCATTTTACATTTGAAGTAATATCCTTACGTGAGGGGAAGAGTACAGATTAGATGTTAGATGATACATTACGTCTTAATAAAAAGTTAAAAAAGGTAAAGCACCCAGAATAAGGAGAATTGGATTGAACTGAGGCACTTTTAAAAGCTGAAGGTGTTTGAAAAAACTTACTTGTCGACTCAGTGATGCCTGTCCTTCAGTGTGTGTAAGGCAAATGCCTCAAATGAGGAGGCATCAACTCTGACATAAAAGAAGAAAACGAACTTATCGATTTAAGATTTTAGCGTTGTGAATTATTGTAGCAGTGAATTGTATTGCAATGGTCTGCTAATAATTTTTAAAAATTTCAGAAATGGGGCGCGATTTTAACGGGAGAAATTGCATAAAACCGCTTATAGATCGCGTATAATTTTGGACTTGTTTTGCGCAGTTAGTAATAGTGAATAATGTTTAGCTAACTGTGCCCTATCACTCTTGTAATGTTTATACTTGTGTCCAAAACAGAAAGCTAAAGCAAAATTAATCAGATATCTGAGTATTCTTTCACATTATTTACCTTTTCGAAGTCAGATGGGCGAGTACGAGTATACTCAAGTACAAAATTTTTAGTACCCGTACTCGAGACCTTTTTATACGAGTACTTAAAAATGTACTAGAGTATTTTCGAGTACTTGAAAATTCTTACTGGTATACTTTACAAAGAATTTTTGGCTGTGTGAATTTTTTTTATTGTTCCTGCAACATCCGCACCAATAGAACGAATTTTTCTCAAAGCGGCCTTATCATCCGCCCACATCGTTCAAAGTTATCAGCATCAACGTTATGCATGTTAACATTTTTAAAATGCAATAATGATCTTCCAGAATAACGTTTCATTCTTCTGTATTCAGATAAAGTAAAACAAATAAATAATAAAAATTAAAATAAAAAAACTAAGACTAGAAACTAACTCTTCTTCAACTGATAGCCAGAGAGATACTGAAAATGGCTATAGTTAGGCAACTAAAACTTTTTCATGAGTATTTTGTTCTTTTAAAAAAAGTTTTGTACTCAAGTACTGTTTAGAAAATACTCGTGTTCATACTCGACGCCCAGTACTCGTACTTGAGAATCTGCGTACCCGCCCATCTCTGATGGTCATGGTTAATCGGCTTTCTTCGGCAATACATGGGCAACTTAACTTTGGCTATGGCACCATTGTATTCAATTTGTTATCGTATGCAGTGCACAATAAGGCTCCAGACTTATCTAAATATATTAGATATGTTATTTTTACATATCAGAATAATTGAAAACGAATGTAGTGAAACCAATAGATGCTAAATTCATAGACTGAAGTTAGCACTGAAAATAGAGAGAAATAGTGTACGGCATTGTTTTCAAATGATAAAAATAAAATAAATAAGTGTAATTTTCGTATTTAAACACATTTAAAAAAAGTAATACCACTTCATAATCCACTATGTTGACAAAACAATAAACAGATTTTCACTTTTTCCATGCTATTCTTGCAGGTGGTTTCGTAGTGGATTCGAGAATGGTGTAGTCTTTCAGCTGCAAGACGCTAATTATGGAAGCTGCATTGTTGACAGTAAAAGTCGTAAAATCAGCGTTTGCTGGAACATAAAATGTCGAGTAAGGATTACTGTCGGAATATAACCACTTAACGTTGGATTCGGTCTTCTTTAGCACTTGAAGACGGTCCTTTTCGTTCGAGATTAGTATGTGTCCAACAGGTTCGTATTCAGAGATTGTTGTATTGCTATCGAATAGAAAAATATTCTTTGTCCATGTTTTAGGGTCTGACAGGGAAAAGACATATCTTGGAAATGAGTCTATTTCAAATTGTTTAACTTCTACAAAGTTACCACACTCATTCTGACAACTAGAACATCGTTTCGCTGTTGTGAATGAGAATAATTGTAACTCTAGATTTTCATTCTCTTTTAAGAGATGGATACCATTCACCTCCATTGCAATGTTAACGTCATGACATTTGTAACAATTATAGTTTACTGTTATCTGGAATAGTAAAATAATTTAGATACCATCCTGTAAAAGTTTATTGTTTTACACAGGTACAATCAAGTAACGTTGACCAGTTATGAACTTCATTTAACAAAAGTGTTTCCCAGAGATCAAAAACTTATTCAAAAAACATATTCAAACGTAGTTTTTCTGGGATTGTTTTTGACGGTTATGTCCGTTTGTGCGCTTATTGAGTTTCTGTGTGAATTTTTAGAAACCTGGTCTCTGAAGACCCAACACCAATCTGCGCATGGCGGGATTCTGTATTTCAGTTTATCCAGTTACCTTTGTGAAAGTATTTTCAGAACTGCCGGTCAAGTTTTAACCGGCTTATAAAAGTTTTACTTTTTATTTAAAGCAAAGCCTCAGCTTTTGTTTCAAAACATTTGCAGAGGAAAGAGAATTCAACAAGCGCGCAAACAGACGTCAGAATCAATAGCGATCCCAGTAAACTAGGTCTGAAGAGGGAAGCTTTTGATCTATGGGAAAGCTCTCTTGGATTTGTTCTTACTATAGATATTTAGACTATGAGTAGATGGGTGCTATTATGTATACGTTGACCTCATCGATATCGAATACATATGGCAACTAGTATCATACCTTGAATTCTAAAGACTCTGCTATTTTCGGCATGGTTGTCCTTACAATTTGTACAAATTCATCGAATGAATAAATATTGCAGCGATCTTTTGTAATGTTTTCTTGAGCGTTGTCCAGCAATGAAAATATGGCATTCATAAAATCAACGCCCAAAACAGTTATCTGAATAAATAGACGTTTGTTTACTGAGCGAAACACACTGTGAATAGAATAATTTACCTTTTGATAAATTAACAAAATCGTTTGCCTCATGTAGACATCCTTCGTTTTGGATGGTAAAACAAACTTTTTACCATCTTCCACACAAACATACTTATTTGTATTACATAATGTAATAGAAGCATATTGATCATCATGTTTTTGATATACAGCAGATACTAACCTATACATACAGTGGTATTGGACACACAAAACAGTATTAGCTGCAGTTGCGTTCAAATTCAAATATTCCAAATATGAGTCGTTGTTTTTGTTTCTATCGGCTTGATTCTTGAATACAAATAAGACTTTTGGGAACTCACAAATACTCATTTTTGACAGCTGTATTGTATCATTGTCCTTACAATTTGGACATTCTCTATTTCGGTTCGATGAGACTAAGATTTGAGTTATAAAATCACGATCAGTATGAACATCATAACCGTGTAATACAAGAACTTTATGATTGATAAAATTGTTGAAATTAATTCCACAAGTCTGACATGTTGCTTGTAGAACAACTGTCATTTGAACATTTGTGTTGATTATCGGAAGTATAAAATGTTCTATAAATTTTACGAGATGAAAGACACCTGTGTCATTTAAACTAGCAATATGTTTTCGAATGCCGATCATCACGGATTGAATTGCATGTTCTTTTACTGTGTTTGGATTCGTCATTTCACGCCGAGAAGTGTGCATAAATCATCGAGATGGTCGGGAAGTATGATAGTCGGATCTATATATATCATATTTCTTTGCAGTACTTTCATAGTTATCGTTGCTCTCAATACAGAATTTTCTAGTCCATATATTTTATCCTTGTTTTGCCATACAGCCACTGTCTTCGTATCGCAATAAAACATAACTTCTGGCATTTTCATTTTTATCAGATTTTCCATTGATTTTGCGTACTGTTGATAATGACCTATTTTTTTTTTCGACCATCTTTCAGTCAATTCTTTCAGACGCCGTGACCTAGTTGGACCAGCTAGTTGAAGCCCAGCTTGCTTTTGAATCGCGATTGTATCATCACAGAGAAGACCAACAACTAAGTCCAATCTTTTTAATGCCTTTTTGTTCAGTTCCACATTTTTCACGATAGACATACGTTTTTCTGATGTTCCCGTTGTACGTTGAATTTTGGCGATCTCTTGTCTTAACGTTCCAGCTGCAGTGACATTATCAATTGTACGGTATCGATCCAGATCTCCAAGTAATATATTACTCCACAAATGGACAGTTGGCATGTACAGTTTGTTGAACCTCAGTATGAATCTCCCATGCGGATTTAAATTTGTCTCATGCGCTTTTTGATCACTTTCTTCATCTTTGATCCTTTTTCTGCTTTTTGTAAATACATGCGTATCACTCGATTTGTTGTTACTGTTTTGTGATGCGACTGATGTCAGTTGCTTCCACACAGATCCATAAATTTGGTGCATATCAGTTTTAACATTAGAATCAAATTCATTGAGCATTTGTTCCTCCGAAAACCATGTCTGCACAGTTTGATTCATCTTTTTTATATCATCATCAATCTCTTCTTTGTCGATATCGTCAATATCATATTCGTCAACAACGTTTAACTGTAAATATTTTTCGTGATACGCAATCACATTATCTACATCATCTTCATTCATTTTTCCAAGGTTTCTTACAGCTGCATTTAATTTCTCTTTTGCAGCACGGTGTTGCGGTGTGTCTTCCGGATGAATAAAATAAACGCAAAATAACTGATAGTTCTTCTTTAATTCTTCATAGGTATTTGAATTAAGAACAACAGAGCAATACAACATAATTGATTTGACTTCCTCTTTTTTCAGTTTTGATTTATGGCATAGTATTTTCCAATCTTTCATGATATGCGCAGTGCATGCATGCGGAATTGTTTTTTGAATATCATCATTGGTTCCGTATCCTATTGAAGAGTAAAAGCTATCTTGATTACTATCTGAAGGTCTGACAGAAAAGAAATAAAATTTTCTATCTTCCACAACATTATCTAAGTGAACGACTAACTTCAACCATGTCGAATACTCAAGGCAAAGAAAAATAGTTTGTAAAGCATGAAGTAAAGAATAATTTGAGAATTAATAGTGCTTAACGGACAATGAGACAGCATTACGGTTTCTATAGAGAATGATGAAAATTATCAAACATTAGCATTAACCTGTTAATATTCTATAAGCTCTTTCGTTGAACAACCGAAATGTTTCGTTGTTAAAAAAGGCTAGAGCTGACTGAATGAGTACTTGAGCACGATCGTTGATAATAATCTTAGGAGTTGGGAACGAATCTGTAGAATTGTATTGTTTCAAGTAGAGTTGTTTGAATGTTTCAAGCCAAAGTTTAATAGTAACAGCATCTTGGCTTTCGGATAAAAGAAATGTTAATGGAATAGGGGTCCCCCTCTTGATTGGGCTTGCCATCGTTAACTCGTAGTATAATATTTTCTTCTTTAGATCAAGACACTGAACAACGTTTCCGGTGGCGTCCCATGTAAATTCAGCAGTCTCATCAGTAGCTTGTATATTCCATAAGGTTAATCCTGACGACGTGAGACAGATAACTGCTAATGGATCGGAGCTTATGCGCTGAATGATTCCGGGAACAGGACCGTGAGGCATGAGTTGTTGCATATATTTTGCTTTTAAATCGAACAGTCTATTAACACAGTTACTGAACGAAGCGGATTCGTTAAATGCTGCAATTTTCTGATATACTGTTACACTTTTTCCAGCACCATCTAAATTTCCAGCTTTTAAAATATTCCTTGGAATTTGCGCTAAACGTTTGTGAAATACTAGGATTGGATTGGCTCCTTGTTCAAATGCTTCTTTCAATGCTTGTCGTTCTGGCTTACGAATGTGACGAGCTTTGAACTGCCCTTCATGAATAAGCGCACCATTTGTATTGATGAACACGTCACCGTTCATGTGGATATCGACCGTAAACCGAAATGGACAATCTGGATTTTTCATGCCACAATAGCCAATAGTCCGTAATAAATGACCAGCAGAATTCCGTTTAGTAGCAACTGTAAACTTATTTGAATGTGTTTGTAAACTGCAGTACGGATTGATTGTCTTAACATATTGTATAACAATCTCTGGTACCGTAAAGTCACGCTTTTTAGAGTCCGATTTATCACCGCCCTGTTCTTTTGCCTGCTTTTCTTGTTGCTTAATAATGTATCTTTCTTTAATAGTTTCTAGATGTGTCGATGATAATTTTAGTTTTTTATATTCTGGAACCGATTTCGAAAATTTATCAGCTACATCTATCCCCAGTAAGTTTGAGATGGCCTCAGAAGTTAGAATTCTTGACGAGGTCGTACGATTTATTGCATAATCATGTTCATTATCTTTTGGAATGTCTTGTCCTTTACGAATAGTTTTTTTTTCTGGAAATAGTTCTTCATCCGTGTCAGTTTCTAAAATAAAGTATGTCTCATACTATCTCTCATTTAAATACTTAGCGATTATATCAAATGACAGCAGCTATTTATCATCATCTTTTCAGAACATATCAAAGAAGAGCATTAGGTATATCATACCTGAGTCTTCAATCGCTTGAGTAACTGGTATTTTCTTGGTATTCTCAGTTTGCGATGTCGGGATAGGTTGGAAAGTATCGTCTCCTTCCAAAATTTCGTCTATTAAATATCGTTGTTAAATGTATGAATAAATGGACTGAAGTGAGTATTACATACCTTCCCCACTTGCCTCGTCAGGAGAATCGTCACTCCACTGTTCTATGGCGGGTTTAATTGCATACACTTCCAAAGTTTGATCATCACGCATAGGAACAAATGATTCGTCAACTTTTTTTCTTTTAACAAGAGATGTTGCGGCATCAAAATTCATGGAACTTGTGGATTGAGTAATATAATCTGCAAGCACAACTGAAAATGTGTTTGACTCGAATAAAGCCTCCTAGACGTCAGCAACGAGATACTTATTCATTCACACTTATTTAATGGAAAATAAAAGCATAGTTGAACTCTCATCTGTTTGCTACGATATGTTCATTGATTGCAACGTATTTACAACTGAAGGTAGAACTTAAAAACTCAA